GCGCCACCTAGGTGGCCGCCCGGTGAAACTCCAACCACCGCCAGTTTTTGTAGTCTTTTTCGTATGCATAGCCGACCCTCCATTCCCTTTATGCTCCGTGGTTTTGCATGGCGGCAGCAGCGGCATTGCATTTAGGCGCCTGTAGTTTTCAACAAACAATCATCATTAAGTGATATTCTAGCCAAGAGGGCAAAATTTAATTCTTTTGAGATTATACTCTAGTTGAAATGGATTTCCTGGAGTATTCTGACATATCTGCTGAGATTAAAGGAGCTAATGTAAGTGCTTTACATTTTTTCTTAACCTCACCATTTTACAGAGAACACCATAATTCTCTATTATTGTTTCATTTCTTTGTGCACTTCGAAAACAAAGGTAGACTCAAGCTACGTTGTCATTAGGTTTCATTATTTTAAATACTAGTTACCTCTCATGCCGTACCTTACATGCCACTATATGAGGGTATCCTGGCAACATGCTTTCAAGCGTCCTGCTTTACTGCTTTTCCCTATCACAATATTCATCTTTGTTTAATGTGGTTAAATTTCATGGGATCTTATGTGTTTTCAAAAAGATGCTGTTGACATTCCTACCCTTGATCTTTGCAACATACAGAATGTACTGACATCTGAGTCAGTTGTGCAATCATGATCAGCTTAAGATCCTAGAAATTTCCCTCTTTAATTAGCCGGCTATGTGTTGAAATAATTGCTGTGCATGACGATGCAATTCCATCCTAAAGAATGTGTGCTAGTAAATGGTTGTGCTATCTTTTGCCCTACTGACAGTACTAGAGGTTGATTTTCCTAGTTACATAATATGTTTCTCTCTGTGAATTATTTTAGGTCGCTGGGAAGGTGAAGTTTACAGATCAGCATATAATTTTCAAAAACAACAAAACCGGCAAAGTTGATCAGATTGTAGCAACAGACATAGATGTTGCTAATTGGCATAAATTAGTAGGATCATGGGCTCTGCGCCTCTTCCTGAAGAATGGTAACTTGCATAGATACACTGGATTTCGAGAATCGGTAAGAGCTTCACTATCTTGTCCAGTTAATTATGAATTTGTGTCATGTATAGAAATAATTGAGTCTATTAATATATTCAGGATCAAGAGAAAGTGTCTAAATTCTTTAAAACAAACTACAAGCATGACACTTCAGAAAAAGAACTGTGCTTGAAAGGGTGGAATTGGGGGACAGCCCGTTTCCAAGGATCTGTTCTCAGCTTTGATGTGGGCAGTTATCCATCATTTGAAATTCCACTCAACAATGTGAGTCAGTGCACTCCCGGTAAAAATGAAGTCACCATTGAATATCACCAGGTAAATTTTGATTTACAATACTTTCTTATAAGACATCATTAATATCTTAATTTGCAATATTTTCCCCTCCGTCAGAATGATGATGCACCAGTTAACTTAGTGGAAATGCGATTCCACATACCCAGCTCAGAAATAGCTGGTGGAGACGATCCAGTTGATTCATTCCATCAGCAAGTTATGAAAAATGCCAGTGTTATCAATGTTTCTGGTGATGCTATTGCTATCTTTAGAGAAATTCAATGTCTCACACCCCGTGGTCGTTATGACATCAAAGTGTTCCAGACATTCTTCCAACTTCATGGAAAAACCTTTGACTACAAAATACCTGTATCCACTGTTCTTAGGTTATTTATTTTACCTCATAAAGATGGAAGGCAAATGTTCTTTGTGGTATGTTACTAACATCTTCTTTCACTCAACTAGAGAAATCTTGTGCGCACTGTTTAAAAGTTTAATTCTTATGTTGTACTTTTGAATAGGTGAGCTTAGATCCTCCAATCAAACAAGGCCAGACACGATATCATTTCCTCACATTCCTCTTCAGTATTGAAGAAACAATGAGTATTGAGTTGCCTTTCAGTGATGAGGAGTTGAAAGACAAATTTGAGGGCAAGTTATCCAAGGAATTGTCTGGACACACTTATGAGGTCATGGGAAAAGTCATGAAAGCAATTGTAAACCGTAAAATAACTGTACCTGGAAATTTTATTGGGTATGTGCTGAGAATCCAATTTCTTTAACCTGACACCCTTTCAATTAATTTCTAAGAGCTTTTTCTTTCTTCAGCCATTCTGGTACTTCAGCTATCGGTTGTTCATACAAAGCCGCAGCAGGCTATATGTACCCTCTGGAGCGAGGCTTCATCTATGTCCACAAACCTCCAATCCATCTTCGATATGAAGAAATAACCAGCGTCAACTTTGCCCGAAGTGGTTCGACTACCAGGTCTTTTGACTTTGAAGTTGAATTAAAATCTGGTGTGGTCCACACTTTCAGTAGCATTGAAAAGGAAGAGTACACAAAGCTGTGGGATTTCATTTCTAAGAAGAACTTACGAGTCAAGAACAGTGGTAAACCCAGCAAGCAAGGCTATGCTGATGACGCATTCAGTGATTCTGAAAATGAAGATGAGCCTGATGCATATCTTGCTCGCGTTAAAGCTGAAGCCAAGGAGAGAGATGAAGATGGTGGGGAAGATGATGAGTCTACTGATGAAGACTTCGTTCCTGGAGAAATGCCTGATGAGTAAGTAAAACATTCTCTCATGTCATTAATCTATTCAGTAATTTTTACCCAATTGTATTTAAAAATTGACTTACAATTTTTTTCTCAGTGATAACTCTGCTGGAAGTGGCACAAGTGATGACTCTGATGGAGGCTCAGATGCATCTGCAGATAGTCCTAAGAAAAAAGAGAAGAAACCTGTCAAAGAAAAAGAAGAGAAACCTAAAAAAGAGAAGAAGCCAGCTTCTGAAAAGCCAACTAAGCGTCGTCAGAAGAAAGAGAAAGATGATAACAGGCCTAAGCGACCCCAAACAGCATTCATGTTATGGCTGAATGAAACTAGAAAGAGTATTGTAGAGGACAACCCTGGTATCAAGGTTACTGAAGTTGCTAAGAAGGGCGGAGAACTTTGGAAGGAATTGAAGGACAAATCTGTGAGTTAATTTTGTTCCTGATTTTAACTTGCATTGATCAATTTACCTCAGCATTTGTTTATCTATCTTGTCATCTTTTTGTGTCCATTTACCCATTTTTTAAATCTTATTTCCAAGGAATGGGAGGCTAAGGCCACAAAGCTGAAAGAAGAGTATACAGAAGCAATGAAAGAGTATACTGCATCTGGTGGAAGCTCTGCAGCAGCTTCAAGCAAGAAAGAAAGTGGTGCTAAAAAGCCAAGCAAGTCAAAAGTTAGTGCTGTTTCCCCCTCTAAAGTTGTCAGCAAGGAGTACATTAGTGATGATGACAGCAGCAGTGATGATGACAAACCAGTAAGTCAAATAATTCTATCTTTAAAATTTTGCTTGATACTACCTGAGAATGATATGCTCCAATGAAACTTTTATTTTTTTTCAGGCAAAGAAGGAGAGTAAGAAACCAGAGAAAAAATCGGTGAGTTTAAAACATTTTATGAATCTATCTAACTAATCTTAAGTCAGTCTAGGTTGGTATTTTAATAATGATTTTTCTTTCTAGTCAAAGAAAAAGTCATCTTCTGAAGAGGAGGAAAGTAGTGAAAGTGAAGGTGAACCACCATCAAAAAAGAAAGCTAATGGCAAAGTAAGTTTTATGATAATGAGTTTAAAAGACAATTGGCTATTAAAGTTTCCTTTTAAATTGTTTGCTAACAACAAATTTGGTCAATAACTTTTTAAATAATTTTTTCTACAGAAAAAACCCAAGGATGAAGATGATGATGATGAAGAGGAAGCTGAAACAACTCCATCCTCAGGAGATGACAGTGATTAGTTTGGTCTTAATTTATTTCTCTACTATACAATTCCATAAATCAGTATGTCTTGTTCATGTTACCTATTTAAATTCCCATAGACGTATCGTTGGAAACTCCAAGTGATCAACTAATTCCCATCCCTGTACAATAGTCATTAGTGGTCCATTGTATATTATTGAGGTTTCTTAGGAGATGTGATCTGTTTTGTAAACCCATTTACTATTTGTAAATATACTCAGTTTATTTTTTACATCCGTGTGTCATCTCCTTAAGCCAAGTCTTTCATACTCGTCAGCTGCTCCCTGCGGTTGCAGGTTCAAGCCCCGGGGCACTATGACGGCCTTGCTTTGCAGCCGGAGCTCCGACGTGCTGCGCGGGACGGGAGGCGGAGGTGGTTGCGGCGGCAGCTGCAGTCTGCTGGGAGGCGCGCGCGCGCGCGGGACGCGGCGGGACGGCGGCGGCGGCAGGCGGCAGGGTATCCACCCGAGCCGCCCTTCTCTTCTCTCCGTCACCACCACTCCCCCATCCCTGGCCGTTGCCCGTAGAGGCCGCCTGGCTCGCCCGTTGCGCGCCGCCCGCCGCTGGGCTGCCTGCCGACGACCGAGGCTCAGCAGCAGCAAGCCAAGCCCAAGCAGTGGGGCCCACGCCGCCTGGTCTAGCAGCAGACTCGCTGCCGCCGGTCGCTTCGCTCGCGCAGCTCGCGACTCGCGCCCTCCTCCTGGACGCACCGGCGCCCATCCTGCGCTCCACCTCGTCCTCGGGGCCGACCCCTGGGATGCGACGCCTCGACGGCAGCAGGAGGCCGCCGGCCGCGTCCTGAGCTGCAGCGGGGCCTGCGCCCGCAGGAGGTGAGGCATCTCCCGGGAGGACGACAGGACGAGGCGGCGATCCGACCACCTGACGAGTGTCGGTCATCAGGAGACATCGGGACGACGTGGTGGTCTATCAGGCCAGCGCTTTGGGGCCTGCCCCCCCCC